TGAATATTGGGCTAGTGGGACACCCCTCTTTTACATTTTAGTCATTTAGCAGACGCTCTTATCCAGAGCGATTTACAGTAGTGAGTGCATATATTTTCATACTTTATTCATACTGGTCCCCTGTGGGAATCAAACCCACAACCCTGGCATTGCAAGCGCCATGCTTTACCAACTGAGCTACACGGGACTTTTCTCATTTTCCTCATACCTCCATTTTTGCAAGAGACTCTTACATAACATTTAAGCACCTTACAACTTTGGGCTAAATTAAGAGAGCGGTAACAAGAAGGATGGAGAGAAAGAAAGGAAAGAGAGAAAAAGAGAATAAGTGCAAGGAAAACTCAGGAAGGGCCTTAGGGATGGAAAAGACTGCCATTGTAGAAAAAAACGAATGGAAAAAGAGAAAGAAAGAATGAAAGGGGGAATGAGAGAGAGAGAGAGAGAGAGAGAGAGAGAGAAAAAACTAAAGAGAACGAAAGAGTGAAAAAGAAACGGCCAGAGACAGAGAAGAGAGAGCGAGAGTGGGTGGGACGGCAAGTAAAAGAGCGCAATTCTATGTGGGAGAGACAAGGAGCGAGAAAAAGAGAAAGGGGGTGTGTCCCTGTGTCCCCTCCCTCTGTGGCTATAGATGCTGCAGGCTGGTCTCCCTGCATCCCAGAGCACAGCACAGAGCCCCAGAGCACCAAGCCCTTCAGCCTCAGCCTCAGCAAGAGCCTGTCCAGTGTGCTGCACTAGTCCTGAGACCCACCAGCTCAGTGAAGTAGTGCAGCCACCAGTGTCAGCATAACTCACACAGAACTAGGATACTTACTTTACTATCCTAGTTCTACTGTTCTAGTTCTACTGTTCTAGTCATGTACAAGGCTCAGTCTGTGAACTAGTCCAGTGCTGGTTGATATTTACTCTGTGAAGTTCTCCAGTACTGTTGTCCAGTGGCTCACTTTAGTCCTCCTCTTAGTCCTGAACTGAGATCATTTAGTGGAACACCTGAGCAGAAATCTACACAAGTCTTCAGTCAACTGTATCTAGTGATAGCCACCAGCCAGTCCTTTGTACCTGAGACCTCTGCAGATCAGCTACCGCCATGCAGCGCTCACACACCTTCCTCCTCTTCCTCTTCCTCATCTTCATCGTTGGGATGGCGCTGGCCGGCTCGTCCACGGCTCTGAGAAGCAGAGGTAGGTGACATCTGCATCTTGATCATTGCCATGTAGAACACTTACAGTCAACTCCTAAGAAATGCAATGCTAATGGAATTGCTTGGCTTGCATAAACTGGAGCATGCAGATACAAAACAATGAAAAAGACTGAACTTGAATTTGAACTGATGAACTCCAATGCAGAGCTTGCAGTTATCCAATATGCACTTATCAGGAATCGACTGTACATCAAATAACATTAATATGTTGTTATGGGAGTTCTGTCATGCAAATCATAGGCTATTGAGTTTTGCAAAGAAAGTTAGCCTCAGATTATATAAATAAAATGTGAACGTAATGAAATGCATGTGGACATGCAGTTGAATTAAATGTAGACACCCATGCACATTATATGATTGCAATACATTTTATGATGCTGACTGCTCAGATTCATGAAGAATTGTTGGACCAAACTATACAGTATTGGTGGCTGGTATTTTATCATAATCAGAAACAGTTAATTAACAATAGACAGCATGTCCAGTGTTATGAAACATTTGGGCCATTACATGATCCAAACCAACGTGCCGATTTTGTTTTCATGGTATAGGACTCTGCATACTGTGCAGTATGATGAATGGTACGCAATTGTTATTATATGTTGGATGGTATGTCCTGCAGATGTTGCCGTGACAACCACAGGTGGTCATTGCCACACATTGCCACACATTGCCTGGAAGGCCAGTGATTCTGTGAATGTGTGCCTAGAAGCATGCACCATCATAAGGTTTGCCCTATTGTGGTACACAGTAAGATACACTACACTCCGCACCTACTGTAGGTCTACTGTACATCATGTTGAACATTGATGGACTGTCTTTAGTTGACCTGGAGAAAGGTGTTCTAATTCTGTTGCTATTCACAACAGTCCATGTCCAAAATTGGGCTTGTGCTGTTTTTATGAGCCACGTAAATTTGTCCTATTTATATGAAACAAGGTTGGCAGACGAAGGTGAGAGAGGTTAACTGCTGCCAGAGATCTGTATATAATGATGAGATGCTCATGTCTCCGCCCTAACAATGGTAGTCGTTGTCCTAAAGGCAGAAAGGCAGCCGATAAGCTTAGGTCTGCATATTAAGCCCATAGAAATACATTGGGCTTATTTTGGACAGATTTTGGTGAGAGTGGAACCTCTCTCTTTGCCTCTTCCTCTCTGCTGCTACTAATAGTGTTCAGTCTGCAGGGTTGTTGGTAGTTTGGCCCTTGTTAGAATGTGCCATGTGCTTGTCCAGAAGTGTGCCATGTGCTTTTATTGCAGTTTAATTACTTTAAATTCAAGTGAAATAGATAATAAACAAAA